GCTTGCGACCACCAGACTTAAAGAATAAGTAGCTGAAGATGGTCCTTTATACCTTAAAACACAAAGAGTTACTATGACATATTCTAAACAAATGATGAAAAAGCAACACCTGCCAATTAATTAAGCCTCTAAACTGCATAGTTTGCAAAAAACATAAGAAAAAAAAGAAAATGCTATTATTATCCCACTTCCTGGGCATCTCTCTTATCTCCTCATTCTTCAGTATGCACGTTCTGGTATGCCATCATCAAATTCAGAGATTGTAATTTATTTTCATTTTAACTGATTCCTAGTAATCCATGAGATACTCTCATCATTACAGTTCCAATTTCTAACTGCTCCAGTAAATTAAAAACCCTCAGAGCACATACACAGAGAGGCAGAGAATTAGTTTAGCAGTCTTTGCAGTTTTCGAGAAACTTTTAAGGGTGGTCCAATGTCTGACTGTCCCTCTGATTATGACACCTCAAAAGCCAATAGCAGTATCAATTCTATCAACCCTCTCTTTTAATAAGTGGAGAATGTACGGCGTACCCCTGATAGGACCGAGGTCGAAGACAAAGTGCACCCCCCTACTCTCCGAACTCTTCGTGGTCGTGACTTTCTAGTGCTTGGCACTGTTTCACCACGTGAGAATATTCACCCTCCGTGCACAAAGCCAAAAATACGAATGATGTAGTGTTTAAAATCGAAGGGGTTTTTAGTGCAACTCCCACTGAATGCCACGCTGTCAAAAATAAAAACCCACCGCAGAACCACCACTTTCGGCAGCGGCCCAGAAACAGTTTCCATGGTGACGCATGTAGTTTCCGCGGGCAAGCTGAGAATGATCACCAGCTCACAGTCAATGGGGTGCTTAGCACTGGCTGCCAGCAATGCCTCAGTGTGTCCCAGTTTGACCCCTGGTGTCACTCTAACTCTTGGCAGTACAGTACAGGCAGGTACAGGTACAGGTAAGGACAGGTGAATTTGTTGTCTACAATGAACAATTCAAATGGTGCACTATCAGTTTGAAGGTCTAGTCCATTAAATCTCTTACAGCCAATCAAAGGAATGTATCCATACCTGCGAACAAAAAAATGAATAAGTATAACGTATTGTGCCATTAACCTTGAGCCTGGGCGTTCTAACCAAGACTATTTCGGCATTTCCACTGAAACTTGCAGATGTGTAAAAGAACTTCTGCAAAACAAAGGCAGCAGACAGCCTGAAACCAGGGCGAAGGAGAAGTTCACTCAGCTGCCCAGTCCTGGACATACGGGATATGTAAGAATGTGGGGAACAGGAGAGGGAAGAATCAGCAGGGTAGGTATCACACCACACTGTGCGAGCCACGTGCGCAGACGTGTACTGTTCAATTAAAGTACTGCTACTTGAAGCGCTACTTGGACGAGATCACTGTGAGCAGGGGGTGCTGAGACACTCCCGATGCAGGCTGTATAAAGTCTGCTGGATGTCGTTATTGTGCCGAGAGGACCCTTTACCTTTACACAAAGTACTGCGAGAGGAAGGTCTCCTGGCCCGCTGTATCGGGTAATAATGCTGATCAACGCTGCACGACTGTGTACCTGCCTGGTGTTTTCTCAGAGGTCTCCCACTCGAACCCGGTACTCCAATTTCCTCTGCGTTCATGTCCATGCC